CTTGAAACTTACTTTCCCACATCTCTTTCTCTTCCTTCATCTTAGTCAAAGCATCTTGAAGTGTCTTCACATCATCAGAAGAAACAGGGATTGCCGTAGGGAGTGGCGTAGAGATCACAGTAGTCAGGAGGTTTCTCAATAGGGTAAGGCATCTTAAGCTCCATAGCCCTCTTCTTCACCCAAAGCGTGTAAGGTTCTAAAGCAATGCAAACTTGTCTTCCAAGCTCCCCTCTACCCAACCTGTGAATCTTAGTCCAGGCATGAGCCATTCTTCTTCTCAAACCAAGAGAATCATCCCCTCCTTGAAAGAATAAACCCTCTAATAAAATATTCTTAGGCCTATCCTTCAGCATATAACCCAGCTGACGGCGAGCTAGACTCGGGTTGTAGTTAATTCCGCCTTGTATTCCAAGAAGAGGAACATTGGCGAATTCTCCACAACTATCAATAATCTGGACATTATCGTAAACCAAAGAAGACCAAGTGATATCAGTATGCGTAAGAGACATAATCCTTTGAGACCACCTTAAGCAATCCTTGTTTTTCCTAAAAGCAGATGTCTGAGGTAAGTGTGAAACGAACCAATTATACAGCAGAGGTATACAGCAAACAATGGTACCGTTTCCCTTAGAAGTCCTACTATGGATGGAAAAATAAGTATCACCAAGCAAAGTTGGAACAGGGTTCCCAATCGAGAAAATCCTAATAGCATTAATGTCCACAAAATTATCAATATTAGGAAACAAGACTAGTCCATAGATGAGTAAAGCCAATATAGCCTCAAACGCCAATGTGCGACCAATGTCAGCAAATAAAGTAGCCTTCTCAATCAAGAACTTAGCAGTTAAACCCTTGAGGCCTCCCTTAGTCTTTAGATTTGTATCAATATCCGACTTCGTCAAATGGGTAGCTTCAGCAATATCTTGAGGTTTAAGAGCTTCCTCCAAACCAGTATACGAGACCTTATCAGAAACCGGTACACCCAACAAATAAGCATATTCTTCCAAGGTCGGCATGAGCTGATAATCGGGAAATGTGAAGCATCGGTACATAGGATCATAGAACTGCATAAGGGTATTCAGAATTCCGTCTTCAATATTGGTAGAAAGAACAAATAAAAGTCTCCCATAACGAGATAAGAAGCCTGAACGATCATCTACCAAGGACACTAGCTTTCTCAACTCTGTAAGATCAGGAGCCCGAAAACCGTACTTCTGAGTGTTTCTCCTTCCAATATCCATAATCAACAATATCTGCGATGTTTGCAAAAGAAAATCTCTGAGATCCTTAAAAACCAGCTGAAACACAATGCTCATGAATGCATGAGTTCAAGATGCAACACCCACAAACAAGACATACAAAGCACACAGGTTCAAAGGTTCGGCACGAGCATGGAGCCAAAGGTAAGAATCAACCAACCCACAATGGTATGTACTATGGTTATATCATCACCTGTAGAACAAGGTTCTAAAAAGTTCCCAGAATCATAATTCCATCTTTTGGATATTATCGGCTTAAACGACTACTCGTCGGCCAACAATATTCTCAAGAGAAACTCATCTGAGTGTGGTATCGCGTAACGACCAATTCAAGTCTACACCTGAACAGCCACCGCACCACGTCCTAATAAGGCCAAGATGGGTTAAAGGGTTCTAAGGTCCTCAGCTTCTCAGGCTCCCAGTCGGAAAAAGTAATATCAATTACGACTACTCGTAAGACATCAGTAATTTCCAAAGGGGCCTCCACCGAGCGGGGGATCTCAAGTTAGCTTAGTAAGGACTACTCCACGTAAGCCAACAAGACTATACCACCCTCCTATCATAAGTGCACTCAAGTCCGGGTTAGGACTTATCTCACCACACAAATTACCAGGCACCAAAACAGAACAATCAATAACAAACAAGTCAAACAGAAAGCGAGAAATAAATCAAAGTAGGCGAAACCCACTAGGAACCGTTGGGGTCCCCAGCAGAGTCGCCACTTTTCTGTAGCGGTAAAAATCGTGAGTATAAGTTATTGACTAACTTAACTCAAAGAAAACAAGAGTCGCCACCGCACTTTTATTTTTATCCAAATAAAGGAAAGGAAAAAGAGCGAACAAAACCAAAGAGTTCTAAAATAAGAACACGAGACAGAGATCGGGGTAAGGGGGTTGGTTACGCAATGGGAAGGTGTTAGCACCCAAAACGTCTATAGTACTCTATAGGAGCCCTTTGAAATATTTACGCTTTTTGGTTTGAAAGTGGTTTGTTTAAAAAGAGATTGGGGAGATGAGAAGAGAATTATTTTTTATATTTTTGTGTTTGGAGAGACTTATCGTCTCATGCCTACGTACCCATAAAGTGCAATATGGAATCAAAACCCCGTAGTTCGTGGTACAAATGACAAAATTTTTGTTGGTTTTGATTGATTTTAGATGTAAAGACAAGTCGTCATTTCAAGGAGAAAACTGCGACTATCCACCCACGAGTATTAAAACAACATTTGCGTCACATAAAGATGGAAGATTTGCTTGGATTATCAACAAGACTATCACTCAACATCAACGTGGAAAATGTCAAAGTCTTAATAATATGGGGAATAGGAGATTTACATCTCAACTATAGAAATGAATCATGTCTAAACTTTATGAAAAGTTTTAAAGTGAAAAAAAGTGCATAAAGGCACAAAAAGAGTTGATGAGTTTTTGTATTTTTTATGTCTTTTGAAATTAGTCAAAACATGATTAACATTGATTGACTTTTATTAAGAAAAACAAAGTTTAAAAAATCACTTGACGAAAGTCAAGGTTTTATTGCGAAAGCGGTTTTGAAGTTTGAAACCAAGAAGGTTTTGAAAAAGGGAGAAAGTTTTGAAAATTTAAGAAGGGGAGGAGATGAAGTGACTATCCTAAAAAACAAAATAAGAGCTAGAGGTAAGAAAGATCTAACCGACTTGTAGCACACTCCAAAGCAAGCAAAAAGAATTCCATCCGATTTAAAGCATAAGCTAATGAGCGAGCCAAATAAAGGCTAAGATCCACAATACTCAAAGCATAGGAATGAAAGTCCTAATTCTAAGTCCAAAATGTCCATGAAGTCCAAAGTCTAAGAATGGTCCAAGAGTATAACCACAAAGTTAATAGCACCAAATTTTTTAGATGTTTTATCCTTTATTAGTGTTTTGAACAAAGTATGGTCCAAGTGGACAAAAGAGAAATGACATAAACATAAACAAAAATATGGTATGAAATGATAAAATGGAAGCATAAAAGTAAAAAAATAAGGAATAAGAAGAGAATATAAGCAAAATTAAACAAGGATATTGTTAGTGAATTAGTGGTTAGTGGTTAGAACATATGATCAATGATGATTAATTCTTGCACTTAGACCAAGATTAATAAAAATTCATTAGAGGATTGATAGAATCAAAGCCTCCTAACAATGATTTTCATAGGTATTGGAGTTAAGACAAGCAACTAATCATACTTGGACTTTTAAACGTAAGTTTGAGCCACGAATGATCATTTTCCGATTAAGGGACACTTTAGCGCTATGTTAAGCAATCGTAATCGGGTTTATGTAGAAACCACGACTATCTGAGGCCGGTCAATAATAATGTTAGTGTTAATACATGTTAGAGAAGTGATATGTAAATCACTCTCCTAAAACATGCCACACAAAAAGAAAAGAGGTAGTGATCTCATCATAATCAAGATTTTTAATTAATTAATCAAAGGTAATCTATCACTATTCCAATGTAAGGAGAATTATCTCAATGATTATTCGTCCATAGATTTGAAATAATGAAGATTAAACAACCTTGATAATCAATTATCTATGATCCATAGATTTCATCGATCAAAAAAAAAAAAAAAGAAGAAAGAAAATAAGAATGAAAAGAAATCACAATTTGAATCTTAAATCGATTAAATTATCATCAATATCAATCACCTCTCTTGGTGGATAAAAATCAACACCCAAAGTCCATTGATATTGATGAAATCCTATCAAAATTCAAGATCCAAAACCACCAACAATTGATCAAAATGTTTTCAAATAATTTTTTAATGCTTTCTTTTTTCAAGAATATTATTATTAGTTTATAAAAAATAAACTAATAACAATATAAAAAAAGAAAAGATAAAACAAAGAATAAATAAATGAAAAAAACAATTTAAAAGGAGAAAGAGAACAGAAACTTCATCTTCTCCTTTCTTCTTCACGGTAACTTCTTCACACCATTTTTGCGAGCTCAAAGCTTGCTCAGATCAAAGCGACGGGATGCAAAAATCACACCGAACAGATCGAAATCAAAAATTCTTCACAACAGTACCAACAGTTTAAAGAATCATAACAAAAGGTAACGGATCGAAAATGACGGTGAAGCTCAATCTACCTTCAAACTCAGGTAAGAAATCAATCCAAACTTCTTCTTGCTTCTCTTCTTCTTCTGAACGAATCTCTGGTTGAATTGATCTGTGTTTGAGGTTGATTTGAAGTTAATTTGATGGAAGAAAGTATGAGAAGAGAATCTGAGCAAAAGGTTTTGTATTGAGGAATTGAGGAAGAAAATCAGCAGAGATTTTTTGGCTTGAAAAGCTTGAAGAATAGAGTGAGGGATGAATTCTATTTATAGATGAGAATGAGTGAAAAATGATTTGCCGTTTGTGATAATTTTCTGCCGTTTTGAAGTGGGTGTTTACGCGTGAGCTTTTGTTGAACAAAATATTCATGTCGTTTTTTTTTTTGCAATTTCTCATTTCAGCTCACTTAGGTGACGTGGATTATTATTCAGCTAGCTCACTTACTTTTTATTTTTATTTCAGCTTATGAATATGGCTTGGATAAGTGATGAATTGTTTCCTCAGCTCAACCTCAATTTCGAGCCATTTTCGCTCTGTTTCAGTGTAACAAAACCCAATGCAAATCCTGCAGAAACAGCATGGCCCTCCCTTGCTGCTAACATGAGTGGAGTGTAGTCTTCTCCGTCTAGAACAATGACATCAAAACCTTTGTTGGTCAACAATGTAACCGCATCCAAATCCCCACGACGAGCTGCACAGTATAATCATCTTCCTCCCTATAAGCTGCCATCAAGTTAAGCAAGGAGGTTAATGATTCTTTGAGAGCATTACAAAGTGCATATGTATCATCCAAAATTCCAAACCGGTCTGATGGAGATAATAATTTTTTCTCTATTGCATATCTAAGTTTAGCAGCAAGCAACTCATCATATTTCACCCTGTAGAAACCAGCCTGCTCCACATTAAGTTTAATCCAAGATTTGCTATCTTCGGTAATCGGGGAACCAAGTAACTCTTTAACATCACGTATTTCAGATTTTGTTTGTAAGAGGAAATTTTTGCGGACGTCATATGAGCCAAAGCTTAATGTTATTGGAACAATCCATTGGCCTTCCCCTTCAGCACCACTTGACAAGAATTGCGACTGAGCAAACTCCAAATTCTGATTGTTGACTTTAACAGATACAACAGGATATCCTTGCTGCTTAGTCCATGTGGTCATTAACTTATTCACAGGTTCACCAGATCCTTCCTCAAGTGCAGCCCATAGATCCTCAGTCTTAGCATTTGAACAAGCATGCTTTTTTATATATGAAGCTAGTGACCTCTGAAAGCTTTCAGCACCAAGATAGCTTTGCAGCATCCTAATAACAGATGCACCTTTTCTATAGCTTATTGCATCAAATATCTCATCAATCTCGCGAGCATGATTTATCTCCACCTCAATTGGGTGAGATCCGGCAAGCCCGTCCAATCTAAGACCTGCCTCACATTCATGAAGAAATTGAGACCATATTTTCCACTCAGGAAACAAGCCATCAACAGCTAAATAACTCACCCATGTTGCAAAACCCTCATTGAGCCATAAATGGGTCCACCACTCCATTGTAACAAGATTGCCAAACCATTGATGTGCTAGTTCATGAGCTACAACAATTGCAACCCTCTGTTTGTTAGCAGCAGCAGAATGCTGATCATCATAGAGTAAAGCAGTCTCCCGGTATGTAACCAAGCCATAATTCTCCATGGCTCCAGCAGCAAAATCAGGTATTGCAATCATATCCAATTTTGGCAAGGTGTAAGGAGTGTCAAAGTAATCCTTGTATAGTCCCAAAGTTTTCACAGCAACATCAAGTGCAAACTTCCCTTGGTTTGCCTTGCCAATTTGACAATACACTCGGACTTTGACCCCATCGGGAGTATGATCTTCCACGTAATCAAACAAACCAACAACGACAGCAACCAAATACGTTGACATGATTGGTGATTCTTGATATGAAACAGTTTTGAGATTGTTATCAACTTTTTCTTCAGCAACTGGCATGTTGGAAAGAGCAACAAGGTCGGAAGGCACATCCAATGTAATCTTGAAAGTGGCCTTGCAAGCAGGTTCATCCCAACAAGGAAAGCATCTTCTGGCATCAGCTGGTTCAAACTGTGTAACAGCCATATTCCTCTTGTCACCATTATGCTCATATTTGCTTCTGTAAAAGCCTTTCATTCTATCATTCAATATTCCTTCAAACTGAATATTCAACACACCCAATCCAACAGCTATTTCCTCTGGAAACTCCAACACCAGAATTTCATCATCAAATAATTCAACTTTGGAAGGTTTGAAAACCTTAGAGGAATCGCGGTTGGTGAATGAAACAGCGTCGTTACCGACGGTGAGTTCGGCGGCATTGAGAACGATGAAATGAGTAGCGGTGATGACATCGAGATTGACAGCGACGGAACCGGAGAAACGGCATTCGGCGAGGTCGGGTTTAAGCCTGATGTCGTAACGTTTTGGAACAGCGAATTTGGGGAGACGAGGTTGTCCTTTGAACTGATCCATCTTGATGCGACAGAGAGACAGAGATGAATGAAATTGTTCGCTTGATGATTCGAATTGACGCCTTTGGTGTTTAAAATGAAAGTATGTGAAGGATAACACAATCTGGTAAATCGCTAAGCATGTCTATAAGTTCACTACCACTGAGTTTAACTTTCTTCGTCTCTGAATTGGACATTGTAATGCCTGATTAAGTTGTTATTTGCAATGAATCAGTGGGAAAATCAGCGAGGTTTTTATTTTGAACGAAAAGGAACGCGAGAGAGAACAGTTGAGAGAATGGTGAGCATGGTTGTGCTCGCACTTTACAGGTTTTTGTTGCTGCTTATCCTCCAATTCGATGATCCACATATAGCCTTCTCACCAAAGCTAAACCCAATAAAGTTGTCATCACAACCATATAACTAGGATACATCACCACATCTTCAAATCCATAATAGTAAATGCTGGCGTAACTGAAAAATCGGCTTTCAATGTGGCATAAAAGCAATGCGTGGCTTATCAGACTGATCTCAGACAAAAAGTTTATCTTGGAAGGCAGAAGAGTTAAACCAGGAATAGCCATAGCCAGGACAGCATTTGCAACAATCAGCTTGCAAAAAGATTTAAGGGACATGCCAGCCAACCAAATATTTAAATCCCAGAAGTTGTGCAACACAAACCATGTGATCATCAAGCTCCCAAGAACAACAAAAGCAAAGTATGAAGTTAAGCTCTTCTTTTCTTGATATCAACCCTTGACAATACATGTCTAGCACATGTGTGCAACCAATTTGTTGCAATGATCTAATCAACCCTTTATAAGTTCTTCCCTGCTTCATGTCAACCAACACTTATAAGGAAAATGAGGTACAGGAAAATGAGGTAACACATCAACCTTGTTGACAACTTCAAATGGTTTCTTTCCTCCAAGAGAAATGTCATGCACTTCCACGTATCTTAGAACTAACTTCCAATCATGCTTTGAATTTACTTGGAAATGGCACACTTGAATGAATATCAAACTTGACTTGCACAGACAAACTTTTGAATCTTCGGTTAAAACTGAATCACTTTCAATATGTCTGAGTTAACATCTGGGAAAATAAATCCACAGATGAACACAACCTGGACTGATGAACCTTGATCATAATAGTCATGGACCAAATTTCTCATAGAACACTGCTTGATAAACCACTGGATTTCAATACAAGACAAACTGACATTGAACAATCTCATTTCCTGAGAAAATAACCCACCACCACGGGTAACTTATAGTTGAAGCAAACTCTTGATAGTTTGACCAAGATGAGGTCAAACGTCCATCTGATTTAAACTTGAATGAATGTCTTTGCCATTAATCTCCTTGCAAAACCCTAAACACAAAGAGAAGAAGAAGAAACAAACAAATTGAAAAATATTTTTGGTAATTTTGGTTAGATGTTAGTAAACAGAAACAAACATAAAGTAAATAAGAAACACAAAGTAAGATCTTGTTTGTGGAATGATATGCAAATGAAATGTGGGATCTTAGGGGTAAAAATTTGGGTATTACATCTATATCTATTTAAAAAAATCTAATTAAATCTAAAAAATCAAATAAAATCTAATAAAATCTATAAAAACATTTAATCCTATTTAAAAAATCTATTCTATTAAATTTGAAAAAAACAATTAAAATCTAATAAAATCTAAAAAACTTTAATATCTATTTTTAAAATTCATTCTATTAAAAGAAAATCAATATCTAGTTATATCTATTTAAAAACTATTCTATTAAAAGATAAAACTAATATCTAAAAAAATTAAAATCTATTAAATCTCTAAAGAAAAAAAAAAGAATATTGATTTAAAACTCTAAAAAACTATTAAAAAAATCAATTAAATTCTATAAACAAAATACTAACCTATTTATTATCTAAAAAAAACAAATAACCCTATTAAAATCTATTAAATGCATTAAAAATCTAGAAAATAAAAGAAAAATCCTAAAAATGCCAGGAGGCCGATTAACTCGATTAGAGAACGATTGCACAACCATAACGAAACCCGGGCACCGAGATGGCCTGAAAACACAGGGAACGAGCACGAATTCTCAAAATACGCTTATTCAAACCGGCCTGAACTGCCTGAAACTCCAGGGGCTGCAATCCCGATAAAATCAATCTGACTGAGAAAATGCAATGCATGCAGTATGCGAATACGAATGCAAAATGCATCGAAACATAAACTCGATATGGGGACCGGTTGGTCAAATTTCGGGGTGCAACACACCTGTGTCGAGAACTTTCATCATCTTGTCTTCGACAACTACCTTGTAGTTCTTTTCGACAAGCTTCCCTATACTGAGCAAATTACTCTTCATGCCTGGTATGTACAACACATTGGAAATTGTTGACCTTTTTCCATCTTTCCTCATAATTAAAACATCACCAACACCTTCAGCTGCTAGAGTGTTGTCATTTGCAAACTTCACTGTGTTCTTCGACGAGGGCTTCATGCTGACAAACCAATCTTTCCTTCCAGTCATGTGTGATGAGCATCCTGAGTCCAAGTACCATTGATCTTGGAATCTTTCTTTATCTTTTGTTGTGACCATTAGCAACGTTTCTTCTTCTTCTTCTTCTTCTTCTTCTTCTTCTTCTTCTTCTTCTTCTTCTTCATGTTTTTCCAGCTTTGCATCAGTTTCTTGATTTCTCTTCCTTTCTAGACAATCACTAACATAATGACCATACTTTTGGCAATTGAAACATTGAATGTGGCTTTTGTCTATCTTTTGACCACCACCTCTTCCTTTACCTGCAGCACCACCTCTTTGGTTGCCTTGGTTCCAAGGTTTCTTCTGATTCGACTGGTTTTCTCCTTTGTTGCCATTTCAGCTACCTTTACCTTTTCTTTCCTTTTCTGATTGCGCCTGCAAAGCCATATCTTTCGATTTTCCTACAGCTCTCTCATCCATCCTCTATTCATGAGACTCAAGAGCCCCTTGAAGCTATTCCTTTATCAACACTGACAAATCTTTCGACTCTTCTATGGCAACTACCACGTGGTCGAATTTTGGAGCCAACGATCTCAAAATCTTTGAGACAACTGCTTTCGTCGTCAGCGCTTTTCCATATACTTTGATTTGATTCACCAACTTTGTAACTCTGGTGAAGAAATCTATAATGCTTTCGTTGTCTTCCATCTGAAGCAACTCATAGGTTCTCTTGTGAGTTTGTAACCTCACCTCTTTCACCTTCTCTGTGCCTCCAAACGACTTTTCAAGAATCTCCCATGCTTCTTTTGTTGAATCAACATCACTAACCTTTTCAAAGTTATCAGGATCAACACACTGATGAATTATAAAAAGTGCTTTATAATCCTTCTTCTTCAATTCTTTGTGCGCAACCCTTTTCTCCTCTGTTGCGTTCTCCCCAAGCGATGTTAGTTCGTCCTTCACAAGATCCTAAAGATCATAATAACAGAAAATCACCTTAATCTGCTTGCACCAATTCTCATAATTGTCTTTCTTGAGAATTGGCAGGGTCGCCGGAAAGTTGTCGTTCGAATAGTTCATCGCCATCACTATCTTCCTTCCTTGAATCTCTCAACCGGAGCTCTAGATACCAGATGTTGGAAATTCACCTCACACCCTATGAAGAATTCCCTTCAATCTCGATCTCAAGATTGATGAACAAACCCATAGTATGATAGTAATGGTGATAACAAGTAAAGAGTTATCAAGAACAAACAAATAGCAAGAAAGAAAAGAATGAGAGAAGAAATATTTGGAGAAAATTGTGTTACCCACAAACTGTGGAATTTCTGATTACTATTGAACTTTCACTTGCTAAACTCTGCAACTGTGAAATCTGTTCTATTATAGATTACAAAGCAAGGCACCCATTTATAGTTTTAGGTTTACAAAAGCCCAAAACATAAAAGGCCCAAAATATTCAAAATCAAATCTAATCTAAATCAAATCTGTTTCAACACACTATGAATTACATTTAACACAAATAAAATTTTTGTACAAATAAAACAATCCATTAATGTATATAAAAACTTACATATAGTTATATCGGTTTTTTCTAATTAGTTGGTGTGTGGAAAAACTAACTGACTTTTTTAAAAAACACTATTGTATCCGATTATTTGCAAACCTTTAAAATGTACGGTAGTGTAAAAGCACTATTCTTTTTTAAAAGCTCATGTGCTTACCGGATTTTTAGAGAATCTAAAAAAAATAATTTGGTAATGTAATTTTTAGTGGTTGAGATTGTTGAAGAATCAAAATATTAATTAGAATATTATAGTATTTATATTGTATTTTTTTTAGTTATTAAATTATTAGGTAGTCAACTATTTTCAATAATATGTAATTATGTTAGGATCTTTGTAATTAATTTAGGATTCTAACTCTTCTCTATTTAAGAGAGATATCCCGTACATTTAAATATACACCAAAGAATTATTCTCCTCTCATTCTTTTTTGCTTGGCATAAGAGCAAGTTCTCTGCAGCCAACGCCTCTGTACTTCCATAGCAGACAATTCCTCAGTCAATAGTGAAGAGGAGAATAAAACCATCAAAAACACGTTGTCTCAAAAAGAGCAAAAAATTGCTTATGGTGGGATTCTCATTCTATCCAAATCACGTCTTTTGGTCGAACTATTTTAGGTGGTCTCAATTTGTCAAGATGTATATCTGTAGAAGAGGGAAAATGGGATATCTTATTGGTGATCACACAAAGATGTTGGTGACCCACAACATGATGTGTGAGATGCTGAAAATCCCATGGTATTGACATGATTGGTAAACTACATGGAAGAGAAAATCAGCAGCAATTATATGTGTTATTCCACAGTGAAAGAGTTGTGGAAAGTGTGAAAGAGATGTACTCTGATATGGAAAATAAGTCTCAGATCTATGAACTTCTGTTGAAGGCTAGAGAAATTCGGCAAGGAAGTGATAATGTCACAAAATACTTTCATTCCTTAAAATGGGTTTGGCAAGACCATGATCTCTTCAACACTTATAAGT